CCTCCTTTGGAGGAGTGGCTGATGAGTTTGAACCGCCAGCCTTCTGGTTGGCAGTCAAGTGCCTTAGGCACTATTCGCTGAATGTCTCAGAACTCACGAACTGCCAAGGTCATGGCTTATGTGGTTGTGGAGGCTGGGAAGTCCCAATCTGTAGGTCAGGCATAAACTTGGAGGAGTCTTCTCACTCATGTGGTTGCAGGGGCCAGTGAACCCAAATCGACAGGCTGTTGACTCAGGAGCCTGTGGAAGCTGGTGAATCAGGTCAGATGGTGGGCTGCTGTCTCAAGTTCCAGGAACTAGGAATCAGGATCATGAGCCAGATAGGATGCTAATGAACCAGATGCAGGATCCAGGGCGTGAGAGAACTTGGCCAGGACATTCCTGTTTGCTGGATGCAGACATCCCTGAAGGAAACCAAGAGTAGTGACTTGAGTCACACCTTCTGGTAAGGTGATGTCTCAAGATACATTCCCACAACTAACTCCAAAATGGGATGATAGCCACAGGCACAGGGGCTGGGATTTATAATACATCCCAAAATGGACTATGGCTAGAAGGGCTGCATTAAGTCTTTTATTGCTAGAATTGCCCCATAGAGTTTTCTAGGCTGTAAGGCTGGCAGTTGAAACCCACCAGCCACTCCTCTGAAGTGGGCAATCTACTTCCGCAGTGATACTGCCTCGGAAACCCAAGGAGGGGTCGCTATGAGTCAGGTCCGACTCGACTGCACATAACAACAACAACAAATCTTTATGGGGACAGATTGCCAGGTTTTTCTCCTGCAGAGCCACTGGCTAGGTTCGAACCACCAACCGCTGGGTTAGCAGCCATGTCCATATCACGGTGCCACCAGGGCTCCTTGCCATGCACGTAATAGGTGTTCCAAATACTGACTGGAGAGTCAAAACTGTGCTGCTCTGGTGGGATTTGCTCCTACACCTCAGCTCGGCCACTTAACTAGTTACTAGAAATGACCTTGGGCAGGTCACAGAGCCCCTTTGTGCCTTGGTCTCCCCATTTATAAAATAAGGACAACAGTACCACCTTTCCGGAGGATTTTAGACATAAACTGATTAATTGTAAATTGCTTAGAACAGTGCCTGGCATATAGGAAGTACTGTGTAAGAATAAACTTACAAGATCCCCTCCATCACGCACTTTTCTCAGGCCAAGTGGGAGTGGAGTGGATGGGAGGAGGAAAGGTTGGCCTAGAGGCGGACGGAACCTTCTGGCGCTACCAGGTGACCGCTGAAAGTGTGGGGACAACATTACCCAGAATGCCTCCCGAAGTTCCCCCCACCCACCCTCCTCGTTCCCACGCCCTGAGGGTCGGTTTAGCCAATGCGGTGAAGACTATTGTACCCACCATGCCCTCTGCGGGCCCGCCTACCCAACGCTGCCTCGTTTACATGCCCTTCCAATTGGCTCGGCCAGTGGGGGGCGAGGACTACATTACCCATAGACCTCTGCAAGTCCGCCCTCCTGGTCTTAGCCAATGGGCGAAGACTAAGTTACCCAAGTCGCCCGCGTATGTTTCCCACGAGCCTCGGCCGGCTCAGCCAATGGCCTGCACGGGCCCTTCTGCGTTCTGCTTTCTGCTGTTTGGGGTCCGCAACCCCTAGACCAACGTGCTGACGAAGCTTGGCGGCGGAACGCCTTGCGTCCGCACTTACCCCACGGGCCCCGGGAGTCCCACGCCGCGCTCCCAGTGGTTACGGACGCCAGGGGACATATTACAACTCACGCTTCCATCTCCGCCCTGGCGTCCGCTTCGGCCACCGTGCACCCTCAGCCTGAGGGGATGAGGCAGGACGGCAGCTCGGCGGAGGAGGCCGCCCCTAGGCCGCTGGAATTGGTGACTGGGGGTACCCGATAGGGCCCGCGGAGCCCCGAAGTCGCGGGTAAATTTGGGACAGATTCTGCGTCCTCCTGGGCCGAGGGAGTCCTGGTTTACACCAGATGTGGGGCACAGTGTCATGATGGAAAGTCACTCTTGTGGAACTGTGTCCATGTTCCAGGCACTGTGCTAAAGGCTTCCCAAACATCTCGTTTAATCTTCAGTAACCTGTAAAGCGGTATCTCTGTTTGTCAAGTGAGGCAACCTGGACCCAGAGGCCCCGAAAAATCCACTGCCATTGAGTCAATTCCGACTCACAGTGACTCTCTAGGGCAGAGTAGACCGGTTCCATAGGGTATCCAAGGCTGTAAATCTTGACTGAAGCAGACTGCCTCAACTTTTTCCCGTGGAATGGCCAGTAGGTTTGAACCGCCGACCTTTAGGTTAGCAAGCAGCCCAGTGCTTTAACCGCAGCGCCACCATAGCACCTGGAGACTCAGAGAGGGTAAGAAATTTGCCCAGGATTGAAGCAAAGGCAAGGTTGTTCTAGTCAACCTTTTCCTTCTGCCGTTGAACATGAGCCAGGGCATATTCACAGAGTTTGTCAAGCCCCAGGGGTTCACCAAGTGATTTTATTCTCTCTCTGCAGAGTCCTGAAAAAAACATTGCAGTGTGTGGTCAAAGGTACAAGGGAGAAACAGGTTTGACCCCACAGCCAAGGGTGGGCCAAGCTGGCTGGGCACAACGGTGAAGCCATTTCTGTGGAAACCCAGAAACCTCCTCTTGGAGCAGTTTTGTGTAGACCCTTTGCCCCAGGCGCGGTAGCAGGGCGTGGAGCAGGGACAGCACCTAGAGGGGTCATGGGTGGCTGGGGCTCCTTGCGGAGTTACTATCCCTGGCCTCCCTGGACCTGGTGCCCAGCCTTCCTTCCATCCTTAACCTACTGGGGTGTTGATGGGGAGACGAGTATGTGGCAGTCACCTTTAGGTCCTTGTGTGTTCTGCAGGATAGGGTGGCTGGCATGGGATGTCCCTGGGACTCCATCCTTGTGCCCACCCCCAGTCAGGCGAGGAAGCTGGGGATGTGACTTGGCTTGATCCCTCCCCTAGACCAAGGTTGAGGGCTGCCTCTGCGCCCAGCCCACAGGGGTCATTTCCCAGGACAGAGCCTTCCATATATGTCCCACTGGGTCTTTGTAAGACATAAAGCCTCACCTTTGAGCTTCTGTGTGGACCCCCGGGCGCAAATGCCCTTTGCTGTTCACATCTCTGGTCAGGTATGTGGCCGGAGCATAACATGGAGTGCTTGTTTGGTTTCCTCACTGTGGCATTGTGGGGCAGCTGCTGAACGAGGACTTCGGGACCATCCCCTCTGGGCTGAGCAGTGTCCTGTGGCAGGCAGCCTTGTCCTCACGCACCTGTGGTGGCCTGTTCACTTTGTTTTTGGGTAATACATTACTGTGTTTTCAGTGAACATGCACACAGCAAATTAGCTTCCTATTTGACAATTGCTACACCAATTGTTCATTGATACTCTGTCAACATTCGCTTTAATTGTTTCCAGTCCTGCAGTCTCCCTGCCACCTTCTTATGCCTCATTGGTTCTGTGTGTCCTCCGGTCCATGTGTATTTCCACACATTTCAGCATAACTCCGGTCTCAGGGTACGTGACCTACGCTCTCTTTGTTCCTTAATAAATGAGCCTCGTCCTCGCATGGTCCGTTTGCTGTGTCCCGTGTGTGTGTTCTCTGGAGAGTGGGACCTCTGGTTTTGGGTGGTGTGTATCTTCTAGACCAGCTCCGGGGACTCCTGTTGGGGCATATGTGGCCCAGCCAGACCCAGCCGCCGGGCACCTTAGAGCCATCGCCAAGCCAGCACCCGTTCCCAGCCTCCTCTCCCACGCCCCTTTGCAGTCCCTGGCCCCCAGACTTCTCATTCAAGGCGGTGGCTGGAGGTGGGGCAGTCTGGACAGGGTCTGCTCTCTCGTGAGACTAGCACGGCCTGGGCCAAGGCCAGCTAGCTGGGCCCCTTCCGGTGCTCGCTCACGCCCTCCACGGGCCACACCACCTCCTCCGTGTCGCTGCCTCCCGGCATCTCAGTCGGTTTATCCCCCTCCCCGGCTGCATCCCCTCCCCCTCCCTCACTGTCATCTGAAAGTTGATGTGTACAGAGGGTCTCTGACTTCCGGGTGGGAGTCTGTGCTGTGAATCTGCCTTTAATGGCGGGGAAACTAAGGCACAGGGCAAGTTAATAACACCTTGCCTGGTGGTGGAGGTGGTGGCTCTGGGCCCAGGTGTGAGCTCCCCCTGCCTCACCCACCCTGCTTGCCTGGACGGACAGTGATTCACAAACAGCTGGCCTTGGAGCAAAGGGTTTATTTTCTGTCACTGTTTCTGAGACATTTGGAGTGAACTTGCTGGCATGTAGAGTGGGAGGGACTGGAGAAAATGGGATTGAAGGGAAAAACTGGCTCTGCTCTTGACCTTGAGGCTGCAGCTGAGGACATAGTGACACAGACCATACTCCTCCGTGTGTCCCACAGTGGAGGGGAGGCCTCCACAGGCAGGGAGCTGGGACCCGGCAGACAGCAGTGGTGCGGATGAGGCTGCAAAAGATGACTGCCCCTCCCTGGGGGTTGGGGGCTGATGGGGAGCCCCCAGTGTGGGGGTCCCAGTGGCTGGAACAAGTGGAGTCTTGAGTGTGGTGGTCTGCGGCTCAGGTCTCAGTTGCCTGTGGCTGGCATTTTGTTCTGTACACTGGTGGAGGCCATGCAGGGCCTGTCCCAGGCCTGGTGCTGCCTGACTGCACGTGTGTCGGGACCCGAGATGGCTTCTTTGCCCTTTCTGTGGGGTGGGGCACAGGGAGTGGGGCCGAGACACAGGAAACTAGCCGAGCATCCTCGGGTGTGAGGACAGCGGTGCCACAGACCAGGCCTCGGCCGCTGGGCGATGTGGGGCTGGGAGCACAGGCCAGAGCAGTTCTTTGGAGAGGTGGGCAGTGGGGGGTGAGGTGTACAGAGGAACAGCAGGGCTGGTCAGGCTGTGGACACCCGAGACCCCTCCCTGTGGGGCAGGGGCCATGGTGGGGAACAGGGGGCCCAGCTGATCCCCAGCTCTGGCTGGTTATCAACAGAGTGGGTGCTACTCCAACTGCACAGAGGTTCCAGTTGCTAGAACATTCAGTGCCTTATCGATGTTTGTGAGGGGCGGCACCACCTTTAGTTTGCCCCGGAGCATTCTGGAACATGTGTGCCTTTGTTTCTTGGCTAAAGAGAAACGAGAGGAAGAACATTTTAGCCTTTTTCCCTTTATCAAAAAGTCCATTTTGTCTTAGTTGGGTGTGTTTGTGTGTTATGTGCATGTTAATTTGGACACACAAAATAGCAAGCATCCAGGGACCCAGAAACTTGGACTAAATTCAATGTCAAGACCCTTGCATTTTCTATTTCTGAAAGAGGACTTGTTGGACGGGATGATCGGTGTTCACTGGAGAGAGAAGATGCAGAAATGGAAAAGATGGGAAAGCCTCTACCGTACAGAGCCATTGCAACAGAGCTGCTGCGGTCACAGTCCTTCTGTTTAGGCTCAGAGGAGTGGGGTCACCCAGCTTCCCACAGTTACCCGACTATGCGCCCCTGCTCTAAGTGCTTCCAGAAGATTCTGACTGAATTCTAATGGAATTAGTGACCCCACACTTGGGCTCACTCATGGGGACACCTGGCAGAGAAGGTGGGTCATCGGGCATCCCACTACCTCTTGACTGGTCCTGTTACCTGAGGCGTCTACGGTTGGCTCAGAGGAGACACTAGGACCTCGCCGGCTGTTGCTGGCCCAAGAGGGCCCCCTGGGGCTCTGGGACCTGCTCCTGAGAGTGTGGCTGGGACGCACTGCCCCTTGGCCCAGAGTTTGACATGTTGCTTCCTCCTGGTTCCCGATCCAGCTGTATCTTCGGGGGCCTGACCCTTTTGGCCACCGAGACCCTCGCCAGTGCTCAGCTCGGGTGCAGGTGTCCTTTGCCGGAAGGCCTGGAGCTGCTGGAGCAGCTGGCTCTTTGCAGTGTGGTCCCTGTGACAATGAAAGTCCCTCCATCAAGGCCAAGTGGAGGCCAGACCTCCCCAGCATCAGTGCTGAGAGAGACAGACTTGTTTTAGCTCCTGCTGCAACATCACTTCATTGGGAGTGAAAGTAAGGCTGTGGCTCAGGTGACCTTGGCCACTGCTGGGTCCTGCCTGGAAGCAAGGGTCAGATAACTGATCCAGTGGTTCTCTGGTCTGTGCCCGTACCCTCAAACAACTTTGGGCCACCAGAGCCTGCCCACGCGACTGGCAAGGCAGCTAAAACACCCACGAATATATAGGTTTAAGAGGATATTTCTATATATGTATTTATATGTGCTGCCACGTATATTCATGAATACAGTAAAGCATACGGGCAAAGTTTTGAAAACTTCTTAGCCATAATCAAACACCTTGAGGGAGTTCCTGGACCTAGGGGTTCGGGACCATTGTCCTAGAGAACACCAAGGTCAATTGGCATAACATAGTCCACAAAAACAATGGTCTACATCCTACTTTGGAGAGTAATGACTGGGGTCTTAAAAGCTTGTGAACAGTCATCTAAGGGCAACTATTGGTTTCTCCCCATCTAGGGCAGAGAAGAATGAGGAAAATCAAAGACACAAGGAAATAATCAGTCCAAAGGACTAATGGACCACATAAGCCTCAGTCTCCATGATCCTGAGGCCAGAACTAGATGGTGCCCGGCTGCCACTGTGGACTGCTCTGAAGGGAACCATGATAGGAGGTCCCACATAGAATGGGAGAAGAATGTGGAACAAAACTCAAAATCATAAAATGAAACAGGCTTACTGGTCTGATAGAGACGGGTGGAACCCGTGAGACTGTGGCCCTCAGGTGCCCTCCAGGCCTGGAACTGAACTCACCCCTGAGTCTCAACATTCAGCCTAACAAGAGATGGACCTACAAGGTGAACAGTGACACCAGGAAGGTACACACTCTTTAGAACAGTAAACCATGTGAGATCCAAAGGGTGGCATTGCCCAGGGATAAAGCTCAGAAGGCAGGAAGGGACAGGAAAGACAAAGGGGAATGGTAACCGCAGGGAGGAGGGAGGAAGAGAGCTGTTACACTGTGGGGATTGCAGTCAGTGTCACCAAACAAAATATGTATGAATTGGTGAATGAAAAACCAGCTGCTCTGTAAACTTCCACTGAAAGAGAACTAGAACATTGTCATCTCTGTGACTCCCGAGTTTTCATCTCTTGAGTTTAAGCTTTGATCTTGGTTAAACAAGTTGCCAGAGAATTCTCAGAAGAATATGCAAACCAGACTGGTCTCCAGAGGAGTTGGGCTGACTTCTCAGTCGGGGGGTAGGGGGGATGGGGAACAGTCCAGTCACATCAGCTTTCTGTGAGCCCGACCCTGGAAGAGGCCCTTCATGTGAACCCTCTGAGGAAGGTCTCACAGACAACATTTTGGTAAGAATATGTGATTGGCTGAAGGCCACCATGTAGTAAGAGGAGCGAGCTGGGACTGATGCCAGGACTGATGGGCTTGCCACGGGCACTGGTGCACCTGCATGGACAGTGGCCCTGGTCCCCTGCTCTCTGGGAAGGGGCTGTGCTGTCCCCTGTTCCTTAGCCCAGGAGAGTGACACTCCCTGTCAGACACTGATCCCAGCTCTGCAGCCTTGAGAAATGCAAGCCCTTGCCAAGGGGTGGTGCTAAGAGGAGGAAAGCCACACTCTGGTGGCCTGTCACTAGACCAGACACAAATACAGCAGCCCCGAGTGTTTCCAGAGTGCTTCCTGGGCCTCCAGATGCTAAGCAAAAAAGGGCGGCCCCACCCCTGGCTGAGTCAACACAGCTGGAGAACGTCTGAGGAGATGTCAGCCCGTGAAGACCTGAAGAACATCTGAGGAGGTGGATTGAGCACGTCCCAGGCCAGCTTTTGCTCCTCCCCCTTCTCTGATGGCTGTGTGCCACATTTGGGAATATTCCCAGAAGGTCTGCTCTGCAGGCTTTGCCATGACAAACACTGCCACTGTGTCAGTAGCCCCTTGACCTGAGCCACCTTTGAGTTGGACATTTGACTGCTGAGTCCACCCGGACCTTTTCGTTTCTGGCTCACAGCCATTGCTTCATCCCACCCCTAACGTTTTCTTCCATGGCTGCACTAGCAAGGAGCAAGGTAAAGCCATAGGAAGCCTTTACAGGAAGAAAATGAACTAATCCCTTCTTGGGAGCAAGTTAGGGTCCTCAGTGGTGGAGGACAGCAGGCCAGGCTCCCCACGGGGTCCTCCCTTGCTCTTGCCCCCTGCCCCCCTCAGCTGGTCCCTTGGGTATAGGATCCCCCACTGAAGGCTCCGGTGTCAGACAAGCCAAGGTGTGGGCAGGCTGGGGTGCAGAGATAACAGCCAGGGTGACAGGAGGCCCTGTACCAACGGGGCCTCTTGTGGTTACCGGAGTTGCTGGGGGCACTGAGGCACCCCCTCCACTGGGCCCTGGTGGTCCCTCAAAGCTGCTGCATCTTCTTCACTGTCAGAGGAGCTGGCGCTGGAGGAGGAAACGTGGGCTCACTCAGTCCACCAGAGCCAGGCCCAGCTTCCCCACCTGGACTTGGAGCCCTTGGGCCTTCCTGGGAACCAGGGCGGGCAGGCTGAAGCCACCACGTGCTCACTGGCGAGGCCTGCTCAGAGCGCAGCCCCCTGAAGTTACCCCTCTGCCCCGGCCCCTCCTGCCCAGCATGTCTGCTGACCATACCAAGTAGGATTGTTGGCTTGGTTCCTACCTACAGCACTTCTGAACTCCTGAGGACTCGCCTCACCCAGGTCATCCTGTGTTTCCCCAGGGATCACCAGAGCCTCCTGAGGCCGACATGGCAGCCATGCCAGGCAGTGGCTCCTGCCTCCTGCTGCTGCTCTCATACCTGGCCATGGATGGGCAGCCAGGTGAAGTGGGCTGCCTCAGATCAATGAAGACAGTTGGTGGCTCTGCTGGGCCCTGGAGCCCCATGCCTTCAGCTGGCTTCTGGCTGGGCTTGGTCTGGAAGCCCGACTTCGTGAAAGCACGTCTGAGGTGAGGGAAGCAGACCGGAGTGTCAGGTCTCTGTGATGGTGCTATGACCATGCTGTCCTGCCCTGTCTGATGCTCGTGGCGGCCCCAGCAGAGTGCCCACTATGCACTGGTGCGGAGGCGGCATTCTCACCCATCCGTCCTTTCCTTCTTCAGAACACCCCTTAAGATGTAGCCCTGCACTGTAGACCTTTCTGTGCTGGTGGGAATTTCCTGTGCCTGCTGTACCCAGTGTGGGAGCCATTGCTACAGGGGTATTTAAGTTCACAGCTGGGCTGTTTAAATCAACAACGAATTTGGTTCCTTGGTCCCACTAGCCATCTGCCAAGGGTTCAGCGGCCACATTTGGCTGGTGGTTACCCTGTGGACACATCCGTTGCCAGTGACAGAAGCTCAGGCACAAAGGTGAACTCATGGGCTCCTAGGAAGGGCGGAGCCACCAAAGTGTGGGAAGGACAGGGCCCCAGCACCCTGTCTCCACCTCTTCCTACAGCCTGCCTTTCCCAACATGGCAGGAAGGACACATGGCTGGAGACCCTCCTTCCATTCTTCTAGAGACAGAGATTGAAAATTCCCAGGGAAGGGCTCTGATTGGCCTCACTGAGGTCAGACACCGTGACTGGGCCAATCAGCTGTGGCCAGAGGAGCAAGGTCCCGGTGATAACCCTGCCCTTCCCAAGGAGGCAGTGTAGAGAGGGAAGGGAGGTTCCCATGGGGTTTGTGGAAAAAGCAGACGCTTTGAGGCCTGAGTCCCAGCTCTGCCTCTTAGGGCCTGGGGACATCACCCCCTCTGGGCCTCAGTCTCATCCATAAAACAGGTACAACAGTAGCACCTTCGGATCAGATTCTTTGACATTAAATGAGAAAATGCATATCAAGTACTTCACTCATAGGAAGTTCAGTAAACACTGCCCAGCCTTGGCCAGTTCCCGAGACTAAGGGCCAAGGGTCGGCAAGAAGCCCCACCTGTGGCTGGCCTCCCGCTCCTCAGTGTTGTGGGGTCTGTCCGCAGGCACCTTCCAAGCAGAGGATGATGGCCTTGACTGTGTGGCACACAGGAGGGCAAGCTGTTCCATGAGCTGGTCTTGGTCAGGCACAGTGCGGTCTGAGGATTGCCAAAGAGAGGGGCACTCGGGAGACTCGGGCCCTGTCTGATGCACAACAGCTCCAGCCTCAGGGTCTCCCTCAGGCTTGTCCACTGGGGACAAGCCAGGAGCCCCCCACCCCACCCCTACCCGCTATTCACAACCCTTGTAAGGATCCCACCTCCAGCTGAACAGGAGGATAGCACTACAGGCAGGGCCTGTTGTGTGTGCACTTTCAGAAGTTGGTGCCATCAGGTCGATTCCGACCCACAGCACCCCTAGAGGACAGAGTGGAACTGCCCCACAGGGTCTCCAAGGCTCTCAGTCTTCATGGAAGCAAAGCCCAAACCCACACCCACTGCCTGGAGTCCATTCTGACCCACAGCGCCCCTAGAGGACAGAGTGGAACCGCCCACAGGGTCTCCAAGGCTGTCAATCATCACAGGAGCAAAGCCCAAACCACACCCACTGCCTGGAGTCCATTCTGACCCACAGCGCCCCTAGAGGACAGAGTGGAACTGCCCACAGGGTCTCCAAGGCTGTCAGTCTTCACAGAAG